TAGATAAAGGAAATCAATAATTTTTTTAAATTAATTTAAAAGTAGTTGAACTAAAATTTTTAAATGATACCTTATTGACATTTTTGATTAGAATGTCCAATTTTTTTCAACGATGTTGTTGTAAAGTTGTGTTTTGACTATTTCTAACGTTTTTTTTTCATACAGTATCAATATTAAGTTTTAAATTAGGGTAAAAGTTAAAATCCTATACAAGAAATAAAAATTTGAAGGAAGCTTAAAAATTAAAATGCTCCAAAAATGTTTCAAATAAAAGTTCTAAATTTAGAAAAAATAATAACAAAATTACAAACCACAACGTTTATTGTTTTAATTATTTAGAAACAGAATGAAACAATTTGCAATTATTCAAATTCTAGAGCGAATTGAAACAGTCTTTTCCGCAGTCGAAAGGTAGCTCTTGAATAAATTCCTACTCGAAAAGAGAATAAAGCGAGCGCTGCGCTCCCGGATCTGGAGAGGCGCATGTTCGCGGCCTTGTGTTGGTGAACACGAAGGCCGCCGGACGCGTGCTTGCTTCTTTGGCGAACCCGCGAGACGCCCCCACACACCACCCTGACTAGCTCCTTCTCCATCTGCTCCAGTTTCGTCTGCTGCCGGACACACCGTGCATATATTAATCATTTTATTCTTTTTTCCAAGCAAATCCTGGTTGAGAATTCTTCATTTTTTACGTCCGACCGCGCTTATTTGTCTCGTTGCTCGTGTTTTATCGCGTGAACTTATCTAATTGCAAGAGAGCTGCTGGTCAGATGTGTTATTGAAAGTATTAGAGGGACGAGCATCATGCATGACGAGCGTGTTTCGATTATTATATAAAAATTTCTATATAAGCGAGAGATCTCGTGCTGTGTAAAATTGAATTCATAAATAAAGTGCATTGTGACTGGGAATCAGATTTTCTTTAACAGTGTGTCTCGAGATTAAGCATCTCTCTCTAAAAATATAAATGTTTTATCCGCGTGCAGTGCGCGTAACTCGAAATAAATGCAAAATCATCAATATAAAGGATATGCGGGCGGACTTTCTGCGCAACTTCCAAATAAGGCGTATGACAGATTAGGCTTGACTGAAATTTGCCTTTCGGCAAATCTCCTTTGAAAATTTATTTGAAAGGGCAGCCAATTCAAGAAGTGCGGGTAAAAAAAATCCGTTTTCATCATATTCAAAACGCAACTCGATTTTTTTGTATGGATCTTTAAAATAAAATTCTTTTATTTATACACATAACTTGGAAGTTTAGTAAAAATAATTTGTTTCAAATTTTTTTATCAAAATAAATTTACTTAAATTAACTTACCTTTTCAAAAGTTAAAATTACTGTTTCAGAAATGATTATTTTCTAGACAATATTTGCTTAACCCAATAATTACATCAATTCAATAATAAATATTAAACCCATATCACTCAGAGCTTATTTTGCTGTTGCTTGTATTGTCATATTCTTGTAATGCTTATCGTTAGAGTAAATAAATTATATTAAATTAATATTCAAATCATTTAAATGCTTATAAAAGCGTTTTAAGAATACTTAATTTAATTGTTAAAGAATTGAAAAGAAAATCAACAATAAAAATAAAAAAATAAATAAAAATATAACTGTATTACAAGATAAAAAAAATTATTAATATAACTATTTTTTTTTAAAATAATAAAATTGTTTTATTTTTTAAGTTGTTTTTTTTTTAAGTCTCGCTCACTTTCTGGAATTCAGGACACCTCTCTTTTGTCGTCCGCCTTGTCAGTCTGCGAGGCATAGTCGGGGCCGAGGATAATTAGCGCAAAATTTATGGCCCAATAAACAGCACGTCGCCTCGTCTGCAGCTCTGCTTTTTCGAAAAGTCGTTTTTGGAGTTACACGCAGACAATACGCGCGCGAGATGGAATATAATGTAAATTCGTGGTGACCGTGCATAGAAAGGAGGAGGCACTCGCAGGGAGGAGGAGGACACACGTCCCAAGTAATAACGCTCGGCCAACTTACTTGCAGACATTTAGCACTTTGCACCGAGACAGAGATGCTGCGCCTAAACGGAGCAAAGGACGCGCCCACTCGCAATAAATATTACACCAGAAAAAAGTGCCACACACGTTTAAAGCGATCTCAATTTTACAACGTGCAAGTTGCGATCATTTTCAGTCGTGATAAATTTGAATATTTTATTGAGAATTTCCCGAACAAAATTGAAAAATCGTCACATAACTTCAAGGACATAAAAACTTTGCCCAAAGAAAACTTCTCCAAATGCGTTTTTTGCTCTGGGCGTGTCCAGCATACATATTTGAAAGTGTGTACTTCTTAATTTGGACGAGAGAGAGACACGTCTCTCTCTTATTAATCCTCCAAATGGGCGCGTTTTTTTTCGCCGCAACTGAAATATTACATGACGGGCGGTAATAACTTAATCCTGCTGAATTCCAAATGCTACATTGTTTCTTTGTACGTTTAATTAAAGCTCTCTGTTAATTGCAGTGAGTTTTTTTTACTTCGCCAACTTGAATTCCGAGAAAACTCCTTTACATAAAATTGCCCAGGAGAGAAATACAAACGACGTACCCTGTGGGAACGTATATTAAATTGACATGCAGAAATCCTGAAATGAAGTTGGTTGCTTTTTTTCTACGTCGAAAGCCGCATACCTGTGGCTGCGAGCCATGCCGTGCAGCGAGTGCATTAGTAGGCGGGCGACTATTCAGCCAGACTCTCTCTGGGTTCGGCCACTCTATACAAATGACAATGTCCGCCTCTACACACAAAAAGCCACGCTCAATAAAATATATATACATCTGCATTCAAATCTTGAAAAAGTAATAAATTATAAATATAAATACTTCTCGAAAATTCTCTATTGTCTCGCAAATTGACGAAAAATATTTAAAAATTTCCATTAAATTCTAATTCCTCGAGCCAGTCAAGTCGTGCTTGTGTCTAAATTGCAATTTAACGTGACCAGGAGAGGCCTGAAAGAAAGAAATTCCTCTTGAAATACCTGGGAAATTTGCCAAGGAAGTAAGTAGTCTTGGTATTTTCTTTTATTCCAAGCAATTGCTTCACCGGTGCTCTCAGCACGTAAGCAAGAATTAGAATAGCTTGTTAATTTTTAATTCTTGAAGTTCATAAATTTGGATAATAATTTCCCCCTGCAGGAATCTAAAAAACTCTACAAGAATTTTCAATTTGAAGCCAAATTGTTAAAATGTAATTGAAATTTTCAGCTGTTTAAAGCCATTCTGAACAATTGATTTTTTTTTTAATTTATCAATGTAGAAATATGTAAATCATATATAATTTAAAATCATTGCTTTTCTCTAATTTCATTAAATTATTTTAAGTTTGAATGGACCAATATCTGATAAAATGATTAAAAAAAATTGAAATGAACATTTTCCTGGTTGATTCCAGTTGATTCTTTATAAATCAAATTCTCATATCTTTCTTTTACTCGATATTTTTTAACTTAAAACTGGATATACGAGAATAAAAAAATTGTAGAAATATATTAATATTGCTATTTTTGGTCCGAAACTAATGATTTTTAAGTATAATTTTTAATATAAATCCAGCCTTACAACTTTTGTAATTTAATGCAAACGCACCCAAGTTGATAATCGATTTAGTAAGGAGCGAGTCAAATCAAAGTGAATATAGCAGCAAATCACACGTTAGTGGGCACAATTGAAGTAAAATTTACGCCTGAAGACGATATCGAGCCTTGTATTATTTCTACAGAAAGCAGCGAAATGAAAAGCAATCACGACGAAGTGCGCCGGCACCGGTGCAGGTGCGCGCCGCTGCAAATGATTGATCCGCGGAGGTCATCCACCTGCGAGGTGGCGAATTGAATTGAACAAAAAAAATGTGTTTTCAATAGATTTGGAGGCGCGCGCGCGACTTATTGATATCGAGATACTGACCAGGATGGAGCGCTGAAAATAGCGCAAATAAAAATACCACCCATTGGGAGCAATTATTGGGTGATTGGCGCTATCTGATAGAGATCGAGACGGATCTAGAGGAGACCAAGGTTGAATCCACCGACTCCTCCCGACACACCCTGACGCGCTCTCTCAGGTACTACATGCTCAGGTTCACTAGCTCGCACAGTCCCCTCTCTCATCTCGAGCAGAGCACTGCCTGCTCACTCTTGAAAAATCACTCCGATAGTTTCAATTGCTCCGAACAAGTGAGTGGTGTTCGCGTCTCTCCTCATCGATCCGTGATATATTGTGCGTCTTTTCCTCCAAAGTGGAAAACTTAAGATAGCACCTCTAGGATTGTGCATAGTTTTAATGCGTGTTTGGAAACAAGGCGAAATTCCAAGTAAGAAAAATGAGAAAAACAGACACTTTGCCAAACTGTAGCCGGCAGACCGCTGCGCACTGAAGCTCGGCCGGTTGCATAACTAGCAAGAGACAGAAATTTTAACCAGACGTAAAAATTAATTCCAATTTAAAGCAGTCTAGTGGCTTAAATTTGTGATTTTATTAATAATTTCATTTTAAATTGTTATAATCAGTCAATATTTAGTGATGAATTGAGTTCAAAGTTTGCTTTTTTGGAGATTTTCTCAATTATTTATTGCCTGACACAAAAAATTAATTATCTGCTCTACTTTTTCCGGCTTTTTTTATGACGATCATCGACTTAAATCACCTCTATCTTAGGAATGTCTAAACTCCATCCGATATTAAATCAAACCTTCTGCAAAACGAGCGTGTCAGTTAATCAAGAGACGCTTCCAAAACTTCTAAAATTAAAAATTGATACAAAAGCTCTTAAAGTTTTAGTTTTAGAACGAAATTATTTTAACGCTTTTATTTTTTGCAAATGGATTTATTGTTTATATCTTGTAAACAATGTAATTTCTTATTAATTTAACTTATTTCTGAGTAAATCATGAAAATCCTTTGGTATATTGTCTTGTCCAAAATCAATCAAATAATTAAATCACGTTTTCGCAATTTGTTTCAGGTTCACTCACCGGTCAGTCCGTCCAGCCGTGCAGGTCGAGTGGCGCCTCCGTCGAGTTCTGCTTGGGGGCCAGGGCCTTGGTGGCTTAGTTTGGTTGCAATTTGACTCCTACTGGCCTGCCAAGTCCCAAGCTCAAATGGCACGAACACCTTTTTTATTAAAAGCCGCGGCGCTCAACACCTCGCCGACATTGTTTCTCACAGGACAACTTGTGCGTGGATTAATTTTTTTGCCCACCGCTTTTTTCGCACACGCCGCCAACAAACGAGTTTGCGCGCCGAAGGAGAATGTTTCTCCGCACACGCGAATTGAAGAATAATTTGATTTACAAAATTTCGTTTTACAATTGATACAAACACACGCACAAAGATAGCGCGAACTGATTACGCGCAGAGAGACCGACTTCGAATGAAAGAGTGAGTGATCTCTGGGCGCCCGTCCTTGCTCCTCCTGTCTACGTAATGCGGCGATAAAGATGGGCCTGGATTTTATATCACTCTCACTCCGCTTGTATATTTATTCAAAATTTCAGCATCTCAATTTTGTTTAATACAGTGAATAATAATGTATAAGCTAGATTTAAGTAAATTGGAAAGAAATTAGTGATTTTTCTTTGTCAATTTTAATTGGAAAATATTTTTGTGATCTCCAAATCCAGCCTCTTAAATGACGCAATAAATTTATTATCATAAAATTTGAGAAAAGTTGGTATAGCAAAAAATTTAAATTATAATTATTATATAATTTGATAAGAATTATTTATATACGCGTTTCCGATCTGTTTTAAGAGGTCACTGACAAGTACGCAGTGCAAATTAATTCTTGGAAATCATTTCACTCAAACTCTACATCCTCAAATTTATTAATAACAATTGGTAATGGTACAGCTCCTGGTAAAATTTACTATCTATGTTTCTAGATCATACTAATAATTTGTCAACAAACGGAATATTTTAATTTTAATGTTCATCAATAACTGACTTTTTAAGAAAAACAACTGCTGCCGGCATTTTTGGCCTCACTGTTCTCAAAAGTTATAGTAAACATTTCAAAGGGACATTCAACCATCAGCAGTTTAGTCATAGATAAACAAGTCAAAAATATTAAGGAAGCTTAGTGCATCATAATCTTTATAAATTTTCATACATGGGTGCGCTCAACAATTTTGCGCTCGCGCTCGCGCTCGCGATCACTGGCAACAGTGCGCTCGCGCTCTGCGCTCGCGATCAAGATTTTGAAAATGTTGCGCTCGCGCTCTGCGCTCGCGCTCAAATTTTTTAAAAGTCTTGCGCTCACGCGTTGCGCTCAAAAATATTTTTATCCGAAGAAAAAGTGCGACTTTTTAGACAATTTTTTAATATAACAAAAAATACATCGGCAATTGGAAAAGATAAAGTTGAAGTTAAATTACCAAAATTGGGATCAGTTTTTTAGTTTTTGGTATAAAAACACTGTTTTTCGTTACAATTTTTGATCAAATTCGGGAATTTTTACTTTTGGTTTGAGCGCAAAATGAGCGCAATTGAGCGCTGCGCTCAGCGACCAATGCGCTCGCGCTCTGCGCTCGCGCTCACGATTTTGAAAATCGTGCGATCGCGCTCTGCGCTCGCGCTCATGAGCGCAGAGCGCGAGCGCAGATCGCAGAGCGCAAAGTGCGCTCTGCCCATGTATGTAAATTTTACTAACTAGCGCGTTGATTTACAAACAGAGAGTGCACCCCAGTGGCCTACTATAAAACGCGCGAGATAAGCTTAAAGCAGCGCACACTTTGTATGTGCATCTCATCGGCAGGGTCATCACATTAAATCATAACATTTTGCCTCGGAAAGGGCAACTGTTGCACTTTTTTTCGTATAAATTACTAATCCGTCGAGTGTGAACTTCAGTTGCACTCTCTCGTAATTAATTTCAGCTCGGGTTACTTCTGCAGGAAATGCGCTGTGCGGTGTGGGGTTTCCAGGTGGCATATGCCCTTTCCAAAGCATGCAATGCCCTTGGAAATCCCAAACGAGTGCAGCGCACCCCGTCAGACTTTTCTCTCTAAGAGACCGAAAGTGCTTTTGATTTTGTGCCTATTCTTAATTTTATTCCACAACACACTAAGGAGATTCTCAAAACAATGCATTCACTTGCATCAATGTCAATTTTTAAAAATTTATTACAGATTCGAAATCAGGGATGAAACTGCATTTAGGAAACCTTTGTTGAACTCTTCAGTGGAGAAACGGCGCACAGATGACCTGCAATTTAAAAGAGACTTTAATAATTCTCATTTACAGCTTAAAAAATTCCTTTTTCTAAATTAGAGGATGACAGCTTGGCATTGGCAAGTAGATTAAATCTTAAAGCACTTGTGCTTTGGAATTTAGTCTGCAAATGTTTACAGCTTGTTGTTTATTTTCTTTCAAAATTGTATGTTATTTTATGAGTAGATAAGTTGATTTTTCTAGATTTGTACCTAGCAGCAGTTCGAACGATGGACTTTTGCTTGTTCGAGAGCATGATGATGGTGTACAAAATTCTGGCGTATTCGAGCTCGTCCGTTGCCAACCATCCGGTTCTGCTTCCCTCGGCAGTTTCGATGATGTCCATCAAAGGCCCTCCCGAGCCGTGCGCCACAGTCAACAAACCCGCTGCCATGCACTCGACCACGCCTGGTGTCATTGAATTGTATTGACCGTGAAAATGAATAAATAAATTTATTATGCGTACCAATTCCAAAGTGCTCATTCCACATTGCATGCAAGCCGACCTTTGCCCTCTTGAACTCATCCATGAGATCCTCGTGGCTCAAGTTTATCTGCACACAAGATACAAATTTTTAATTTATATACAAAGTATTTATTATAAGCGTTTTGCCAACCTTGAATTCGACAAATTCGTCCAGAGCAAGGTGTTTGGCCAAATTAGTCAGGTCTTTCACTCTTTGGTGATCTTCTTCGTTTCGGCAAGAACCGGCAAACACCAATTTCACTTTCTCCCACGGACCTTCGCCGTGAAGAAGTTCCCTTAGAGCATAAAGGGAACGCAGCTGCATAGGGTGATCCTTTTCGGGTCGAAATTGAGCAACCTGAAGTGGAAAAAAAATTTGATAAAATGAACCCAAGATAATCGAGAAAGATTTTACTGAGAGGATTCTGAAGCCCTCTTGTTTAGCATCAAGTTCCGGAGAACGAGGAATGGCCAAGAGATCCGACACTTCACATGGCGGGTAAACCCTGTGAGTATCCAAAGGGCGCTTCCAGACCTATAAAAAAGCAATAAGTACGAAAAAAAATTGAAAAAAATAAACAATTTTGGAGAAAAAAAATTTGCTAAGCATAAAAAGTTTATACCAAAAAAATGAGAATAAAAAAAATGATGATAAAATTAAATTTTTTAGTTAAATAATAAGAAATGCAAATTTATAATTATACAAAATTTAATCTTTTGCAAACTTTTTATCGTTATTTTTCTCTAAATTCGCCTCTTTCAATATTTAGCTTCTTGGAGAGAAGAAAGATTTGAAAGTGCGGGAGTCAGTTGTTCTTTTTTTCAATTTTTCATTAAATATATAAAAAAAAAATTTGTTCATAAAATTTATAAATTCTTACTAAATTAATTTAAAGTGACATTGAAATAAATAAATAAATATAAATGTTTTTAACCTGATCAAGTCTGTCTTGAGTCCACGAAGAGTTGGCCATGACCAAGTCACAGGTCGAGCCTGCTTTGGCGTAGAGATAGGCAAAGAATCTGTAGTAACGAAGCTTGACGATTGCCTTCAGAGAGCCTCTGTGCTTGTTCGAGACGTACTGCAGCATGTCCGGAGTGATCGTGGGGTAGTGGACGTAACAGGCGGTCTTGCAGCCACCTAGGTGATGGAAAAGTGACAGTCCAAACGCGTAGCCCATGGTGTCAATACACAAGTCTGTCCGGAGAAAAAAAACAATGAAACTTTTATTTAAATTAAATATAATAGAAAAAAATACCAGGAACAATTGAGTCGAGGGCCTCGATCGAAAGCCACATCGAGCCGAGACTTTGGCCCAACATGGTGAAGTGAGGCCATCTGGAAGCCTCGACCCAAGGGCGTCTGTGCAGGTAGACGAAATTGACCTCGCCAGGAACTTCAATGTTGAATCTCTTGTGGGCTTTGCGGAGAATTTCCTCCGGAGATGACTCGATGTCTCCGGTGTAAATTACATACTTCACATTTGGAAATCTGTAAGTATTTAAAGACAAAGTTAATTAAAGTATTGATTTGAAATTGGGATAGGCACTTGGTTTGCAGAGCTCGAATGGCACACCAAAGGACTCTTTCGCCGCCACCCCCAGCGTCGCAGTAAGGGTGGAAGAAAGCGACAGTCGTCGTTCCAGCTGCTTCCCTGTGACGCTTCCTCGCTCGGTTGAATCTCTGCAGGAAAAATTTTGTTGCTTTTAATTGATAAAAAATACTCTCTTTACACGATTGTTTCACCTTTTTCAGCAGAATGAAGAGTAGGAAGGCAACCAAAACTAATGCGCCGGAGCAGTAGAGGCCAAACCAAAGCACAAGTTTCATAATCGGAGGAATCTCGATCGCACTGCAGGATAAATAATGGAATTAGAAATGGAAACAAAGATAAAGTATCACGATTCTGTAAAAAATGAAATTATTACTAAAAAAAACACAACTTGAGATAATTTAGAGAGCATAAAAAAATGCTATTTTGCGCTCACCTCATCTTTGTTTCTACTGAAACTGATCTTGGAGCAAATAAAATATCCACATTGATTTGTTATTCTTCTTTTAGATTCAGCACAAATTTCAATGAAACGAGGATACTAAACCCAACTAAATGACAGCATCTCGCTGATCTTGTTGCCGACACGACAGGATTTTTCACAATCAGCTGCTACACGTCAATAAAACGATCGCGGCGCCCCAAGCGTCGAAAGGTGAAGCACAAAAGGAGCATGATGAACATAACATAAAGCCAAGTGCAAGCCGAACCGAGAGGTATATATGTGTATCTAAATGATAAAAATGTGTAAAAAATAATGAAAAAAAAGTAATTAAAATTTTCGCACTGTTTTTTCCCATAAGAATGGATCAAATGGAGGATGGAAAGCAACAGAGTATAAAATATTGTGAAATTCACTTTTAAAAACTGCTTTTCCTGAGAGCTTAATTTATTCCTCATTTTATTGGTTTTTATGATTAAATTAAGATAAACCACATTATGCTCCAATTTTTAAATTTTTATAAATCGTATATTACAATAAACTTTAAAGTTTTACTTTTGAATAAATTTTTGGAGTAAAAATAAAAAATAATGATATTTTTAAATTTTAATTTATTAATGTGTTTTTGCTAGAGACTAGAGAGTATCAATAATAGATTTGACAACTTGCTTCGTTTAAAGTAGTTTGTATCAAACGCTCGGCACAGGCTCCGTGTTAAATGATTTTGCATATTCGCAAGTTACTTTCTCGTGCAAGTTTATCGTCAATTCACTCAAATAATAAGGCATTTCCTGGGATACCTGGTCAGCAGCGATAAATTGCTCTGCATCTCCTGTTAAACCTTTTGACTGTTACAACATCTCGTCTTTTCTGGTCCACAGGACATCAGACGGACGAGCTAGTGTAGCGGATGCGGCTTTTAATTTTCGTGTGCTCACCAATTCCCAAAGCCCCATTATTATAAAGTAAAGCCAGTGTATACGCAAGCGTGCGCGTTTAAAAAATGCCCAATAGCGCTGTGTGTTGCACACCACATTACTAAATAATATATTGGTTATAATTTCAACAATGGCAAATAAATCTTACTGTTAGGATAACATAGACGTGCATATTTTGTAGTACGCGATGATGCAAATTGTATTTAGCTGAAAAATTTGATCCAAAAAATAAAACTGACAAATGTCGTAAAAGTTTTTCTTAATATTATTAAACTATTATATTATACTCTATTTTTATAAGAGTGTACTTTTATTTTTAATATATTTTGATAAATTTTAATTGTTTTAATAAATATTTTAGTTTCAGAAGTTTTTGTAACGGGTTCAAAAAAACAATTTTACAATTTTATGCTGCGAAAATTGAGATGCTTGGATGTATATTATGTTTCATAAATATTTCAAAATAGATTTAGCAATGCACTAGTGTCAAGCAAAATACTTTAAAAAATTATTTAATCAAATACTTCAATCCTAAACAAAATAATTTTCAATTAAAATATTTGAATTATAATTAAAAATAAAAATAAAACTCTGACTGGAGAAAAGAGCTGAGAAATGTATTTTCAATCAATAATAATAAAATTTTGTCCCTAGCGATCTTTTTGATATATATGAAATTTAATATTTTTTTCTTTCATTCTAGCATAAAGGAAATAAGTTAAAAAAGAGAAGAAATTAATTTCTCACGACCCACTCTCTTTATTTCTTTCTTTCGAGTATTGAATCGGCCGTGGTGATATATTATGATATTATGGACTTAGCTAAGGGGGTATGATGAGTATCGCAAACTTCCGTCGAACACATGAGTTGCTGAATCAACGTTTGCTTTTCAAATCCGATCGATGATCCCTAGCGCAGCATTGTGTTTCCTCATATTGCATTATCGCTGCACCAGCAAGCATCCAAACTTTTACTATGTAATAAAATCAAAAGTGGCCTGAAAACTGTAAAATGATGATGGATGTGCCATTGACTCCTCCTTCATTTCAATAATTGCACCAGCTTGCTATACACACTAAAGGTAGAAGTGCAGCGAGCCGGCGGCGAAAGAGAAGAGCTTCTGCCACTGGTTTAGTTACCTCTGCCGCATGGTAATGACCTGCGCCGCCAGATATGATAATTGTGTAAACAAGCCGCACTGGCACCACCTTGAAATTCTTCCTCCAAATATAAAAGAAGATGGGACGAAAGCACTCGCTTTATTCTTCGACAAATCTCGGCACCGCCAACATGCGTCTCATCCTGTTTGGGGCCGTCGCCCTTTTGCCTTTTTTCGCAGAGTTGGTTCACGCCAAACCAGCCTTTGGCCTTCTGAAGCACTTCTTGAATTTTGACTCCCCTGCCAGATTCACCCATTGGAGGTCCAGACCGGTGAGGAACAACCACTTGATGAAAACCCGCGGCCCTCCGAGATTCAGTTCTGGATCGGCTGGATTTTGGAAAAATCCAGCTCCCTACCCTCCCTATATTCCTCGTCCACAGTGGAGTACCCAGGTTGAGACGATCCCCGCCATTTTGGTCTTTGAGGAACACATACCTGCTCTGATTCCACCCCAACCACCCATTACCGACCCTCCAAACCCCATGACAGGCCAACCATCCAGTCCGGCCCCTGCATTGACCACCACAACCCAACCACCTGCATTGACCACTACAATCCAACCCCCTGCATTGACCACCACAACCCAACCACCTGCATTGACCACTACAATCCAACCCCCTGCATTGACCACCACAATCCAACCCCCTCCACTGACCACCACAATACAACCCCCTGCATCAAATACTACTGTCGAACCGCCTGCAACAGACCCTTCAGTTCAGCCCCCTGCATCAAATACTACAGTCAAACCACCTGCAACGGATCCTTCTGTGCAACCCCCTGCATTGATCACTACAATCCAACCCCCTGCAACAAACCCTCCGGTCCAACAACCTGCAACAAACCTTCCAGTTCAACCCCCTGCATCAAATATTTCTATCCAACCGCCTGCAACGGATCCTTCGGTCCAACCGCCTGCAACGGATCCTTCGGTCCAACCGCCTGCAACGGATCCTTCGGTCCAACCGCCTGCATTGACCACTACAGTCCAACCCCCTGCAACAAACCCTCCAGTTCAACCCCCTACAGCAAATACTACTGTCCAACCGCCTGCAACAGACCCTTCAGTCCAGCCCCCTGCATCAAATACTACAGCCCAACCCCCTCAATTGACCACTACAATCCAACCTTCTGCAACAAACCCTCCCGTTCAACCCCCTATATCAAATACCACTGTCCAACCAACTGCAACAGACCCTTCAACCCAACCTCCCACAGCCAACCCTCCGGTCCAATCAACTGTGGTGACATCCACCCCTGCAATACCGGAAGTGCCAACAACTGACCCTCCGGTTGAACCTATAGTCTCAACACCTTCGGTCAGTCCAGACCCCTCCCCACCCACGACTGACACTCCTGCAGAAACCGAGGCCACAACCACGATTGGCACAACCGAACTCCCATCAGAAGTCACAATGACCACGTTTGTGGAGGAAAACAGCACAGAGGTCACTGAACTGCCGGCCGACGACCAACCTGAGCCGTTCCCTGGAAATACAGTGGTGACCGAAATCGAAGAATATAGCACCCCGGGTAATTTATATCTCCCACCGTCTGGAATCAAAAAAAGGGATGTCAGTGAAATTGTGCCGGCTGAAACGACCCAAGTTAAACCGGTGCCTCTTCCTGCCGAATTGGAGCCCACGTCGGTTGCATCTGGTGCTCAAGGCGCGGACGAAAATATGGTCATCGGGGTGGAGGGTGAAGGAGGCAGCGAGCAGATGGGCGGGCTCACCCTGGCTAAATTTGTGGACGAGTTGCTTGCGTTAAGAGCAAAGACCAAAGGCACCGCGTGGTGACCCTGAGGAGGTTATTTTATTGTTGATACTATTATATTATTAATTTTAATTGTGTTGATTAGGTAGAACGTGTAATAATTTGGATTTTAAATTATTTTTTTTCTCCTAAAAATTCTGTTAAACAATTAAAAATTTCTGCTCAATGTAAGGGTAAAGAGGTCAAAAGTAATATCCACGCCTGGATTTTTTCGCGACAGCCAGTGGCTGTGATTTTCTGATTTGTGCATTTTACAGTTCAGTGCAGCTGCCGCAAACAAGTGGTTACGATTTTAAATATTTTTTCCAACTGTAAATGCAGCGCGAGCGTATTATTATTTGTCACCTCGTTAGCAGAGCTCATGTGAATGAGTCAGGGAGACTTGTAGCAGGGAGATTGCAGTACATTTCTCTTATTTCGGATGCGGCGCAGCTAAAAAAGAAGAGTTGAGTGGGATCAAGGAAAGGGTGCAACAGAGTTAACGCACCTGCATTGTTTCCAACCACCCTCGGGTGTAAAATTAATAACCTCTAAATAGAATATAATTTACGAGTGGAGACCAAATAATATATTATGAAATACATGATAATTGGAAACATATTTTATTTTATTTTCCATGTTTACGCCTTACAGTTTTGTTTTGTAATAATAAAAAATTACCAATAAAAATGGATGAACATCAATAATCCATTCTTTTTTTATTTTATTATTATTTTTATCGCCTAATACTATTATTAAATTACAATTATTGTATAATTAATTTTGAAAAAAATGGAAGTTTTATTTATCTCTTAAGTTATATCGGAGACCTTCGATGCCAGATAAATATATAGTATATATATATGTATAAGCATGATAGGACCTCTCAAAAATTAAGTGCTGTACTTATTAATTGTGTGTAATTTTGTTGTCAAGTGCCTGCGGGCATTTCAACCTACGATTAAACACGCAATGACAATTGCAAACTAGCTAAATTCAGTACATTGGATATAAGATATGCAAATTAATATTTAGAGCCAATTCAGCCTTCTCACTTTCTTCCGAGCAATAAAAGAAAAATTTAATAAATAAAGTTTTGTAAAAAAAAAAATTCTTCCAAAGCTCATGCGATCTTTTTAATATAAATTTAAATAGCTTACATTGACACAATGGGCCAAAGGTTCGTTTGAAATTTCAAAAAGGTCAAAATTACTCAGTTGATAAATTTTTAATTAAAATAATAACACAAATATCAATGTCATTACCGCTTAAGTTAACGGCGCCTGACTGAACATGCGAGTGATAAGACGAGCACACTTAATGTGCATCTCTTCAGAAGGGTTTCATCACATAAAATCATAACTCATTTTGCACTTTTTTTTTGCATAAATTACTTATCCATCTGGTGGAACTTCATTTGCATTCTCTTGTAATTATTTTCAGCTTTATTCTTTCAAAAAGTAAGTCACAATGCAAGTTTTATAATTAGATTTGGATATAAATAATAGCAGATTATCTGAGTTTTTAAAGTGAATTATTGCAACAACAACAAATGTTTTGTTACAATTACGCTCCGAATCGTTACAATTTATATTTTCATTGTAATTTTTATAGAACGCGCAACAGCTGCATCCGCTGTCATTTTTGATGAGTAACCATTTTTGTCATATATGAAAAATTTACATTTCCATCAGTCGCGTTGGCAGTAATTTGCTCACCATATTTTACGTTTTTTACGTAATACATGCTGAGCTAAATATTCAAGAATGTTTCTTGAGTTAGTTTATTTTATTCTTGTGCTCACAATTATAGATACGGTATGATTATCAATTATTATATCTGAACAATATTTTAAAGTTTAATTAATTCAAAATTTTATGTTTAGACAGGTTCAAAACCAGAAAATAGAAGTCAAGAAGGTGCAGTATATCCCAACCTCCTTCAACACCGATTAAAAATGTTTTTTTTTAAACATACAAATAAATTGCGCAGATTGGATACAAACGGGCAAGATCCGAGCCTTGAAGAATCAAGATGGGAAGAGAATTAAGAGAATTATAATCATCAAGTGCTGTGGAAAAATCAAGTGCTCTGACGGATTCAAAAGGAACTTGACAAAACTTCCCACATCTACCGTTCAAGTACATATGATTTTTAGTTATTTATAAACATAAAAAAATATCCCGCATCTAAATTTTTAATGGATTAAGGGAAAATTGCAGTCCGAGTTTGAACAAACGGTAAAAGAAAAGATTGATGGTGCATCAAATCTAAACTATTCACCCTGGAATTGGGAATTTTTTGACAAAACCAAACACAAAAATTCTCAAGTCTACTACCCTGGTGTGATTTTTTATCATTTTTTGTTTTAATTTTAACGAGAATAATTTAAAATTAAAATGTTTATAATAAGGGATACCAGCAGCAAGAATTTTTACAAACGATAACAACTAAAGAAATCTTTGATGTATCAACAAATCCAACCAATACACTAGAAGAGGAAGTTACCTTATCAATCGATGACACGTTACCTTCAAAAAAATTTGAATCTCAATCCTCATCTTTGATGACCCCTGTAAAAACTTCGACTGAAGCGAGCTCAAGTTTATCTACATCATTAAAAGCGTCACCCAACTTAACGATGAAAGCGAGTTCATTTTCTGGAGGAAATATGTTAGCAACAGAGACAAAATCCGGCACGCTTACTTCAATAATCAATACCAGCAAAACCACAACCACAACGACGACTACAACCACCACGCCTGTATATGATTATATAGATCAAAATTTGTATCTTAATAATTGGTATTTTACTTCCTTCGTATTTAGCCCTGCTTAAGATCAAGCTGTGAAAGTTTCAATCAACAGCTAACAGTAGTAATGTCTATAAATTTTTTGCCGTTTAAAAGCGTAATTATTGATTTAAATATTCCTAAATGAAAAGGTTAACGCTAAAACACCAAACCGTAAGATAAAAAAAAAAGAAACGATTTTCTTGATTTTGATTAAAAAAGTTATTAAAGTATTATTAATACTTATATAGAGAATTACACCATAGAAAAAAATGATTAGATAAACTTAACTTGTTTTTAATATTTTCTTACCAAATTTTTTATTTAATGATAATTATTACAAAAATTTAAAAAAATATTTAATAAATAATTTTCAAAATGAATGAAATACGGACATTTGAGCTGGAAAATTTTGCAGCTTCCACTCTTACTGGAATTAAATTGACTTCCTGCAGCCGCACGTATTTCCTGGGCACGCAAACAGTATAAAATAATGACTAATATATTCGTTGAAAATTAACAAATATTGTAAAATTTCAGGCCGCAGTTTCATCAGCAGCCGTAAATTGCCAAGCGAAAAATTTGAGCCTGGCCTCCATTGATTCAATCGAAAAATTTCGATGCCTTTTTGACTTGTATAATGGTGAGAATTTACCAATAATTCCAGAAACTTTGGTCAAATTGCATCAGATATTAAAAATAATGCCTCATCCTTCTGGACGAGTGGCTCCAACGAGGGCGATTTTTGTGAGATTTTGGACGTCTACAGTTGGTGCGCCGCGGACAAAGCACCCTTTTCTTTAGAGTTTTTAAGCATAGCGGGCAGGAAACTGTATTGGAGTAATTCATTAATTGTGCAAAATAAAACATCCGACCGGTGTTTGGTCTTTAAGTTCAACACCACCAAGGAAGAACTCGCGGGGTTGCAACTCGCTGGATGCAATACAAATTTCCCATACCTTTGCGAGGTACTGATACTGATTCATTCCGCGGCATCATTAATGATTTAAATTTTCCACAAATAAATTATCAGCCTCATTGTCAAGAGCCAAGCTGTCCATCAAACTGCAAGATAAATGTGTGCTATCATAATTTTATTAGTAGATTGGTAAAAAGGTCTCTTTAAAATTCAGTTATTTTTACATAAAAATTCATTTGCTTCATTTTCAAATGTTTCTAATTTTCTAATAAAAAAAATCCTGCAAACTAAATTTGGAATTCTAAAAAGGATTCATGGAAAAAAAAATTCACAAAAAAAGTTTCAAAATATTCCTGAAATTTTAAAATAAAAGCCTCAAATGAGTTTAACAATCCAAAATATATTTATTTCTTGCGCCAAGAAAAGATCTTTTACGTCTCACATGTTTCAAATAAAAATTAAAATCCAGTCAATAGTAAAAACCATAGTCATAAATAGTTTTGGAGCGAATTTAAAAGATATAAAAAATACTTTTTTTACCAGTAAATTTTGTTTATTGATAATAATTAATAATTTATTTTATTTCTGGCAGCAAACTCTTTTTGACGCTAACATGAAGCTCAAAGGTAGGCTCGTTTATTAATCATGCAACGTTAATTGAAGGTTGATTTAAAATTTCAACATCTAGACCCCATTTCGTATGGCTTTTGGACGCAGAGTTGTGGCAGTCGTTATTTATTTGGAAATAAGCCAGTGAGAATAAGCGGGAAAACGCATCGCAAAAATCTAAATTTACAAATTAATGAGAGATATATTAATATAGGTGACATGGGACGAAAATTATAATCTGTGTTGCAGTATTGGGATGGCTCCTCTAGTTCTTGAAACCAGCGAGGAACAATTGTGTCTGGAAAACATGACCAAAAGTATTAAAAATGTTTTTTTAGGGAAAAAAATAGGAAATTATGGAAAAATGAAATAGACGATTGGAGTCTAAACTTTAATTACTGGACGGCGGGCACGCAGAAGGGTTGCGGCGGTCAATGGTCCTGGTGTGACCCTGATAACAAATATCAGCACCTGGACGACAGTTTGAACTGGGAAGTGGGTCAACCAGACAACCAGGGTGGAAAAGAGGACTGCGTGCACCTTAGATTTGTTCTCAATGTGACTGGCGCAATTTTGACGGACAGAAACTGCACCAACAAATATATTTTCCTATGCGAGGTTCCACATTTTATAAAAAAATTGTATGCATTAATAACCAATGAAATTTGTATAGAGCAAAAATTCTGGAATACTTCCATGCTCGAAACTCGAAACCAGCGTGCCCTAAATCTGTGGAGAGAGATGTATGGAATAGAAACACAAATCAAAGTTTGACTGACAATTTCTATTTACAGAGTAAACTCTTCAGTGGATACGAGCTTATCAGTAATTTGACTTTGAAATATTGCGTGCAAAGTTTTAAAATGAAAGGAATGTAGATTATTACAATTACGGGTCTTGGGTGACATCCTGCGGACGGCACTTCTTATTTACAAACGCAACGGTGAAGTTTCAAAAGTGTTTTCTATAAACAGATTTATCACATCACTCTTTAGGCGAATTATTCTGCAGCATTCCGAGGCTGCAACTTGATAGGACTGGAATTACTCTCTCTGGAATCGATAGAGAAAAATAAATGCTTCACAAAAATGACAAACAGTAAGTTTACAGTGATAAAACATCGCGGCCCTTAACATCGTTGATCTTTTGAATTGCAAAGAATTAACGACTGCTAAAACTGAAAGTTTTGTTTTTGTTACAATCTAATCATTTATATGTATATTTAAAATTCAGCAAAATACAATTCAAATGGCGCAGAGGATTATTGAAAATGAATGATATCGTTTTTAGTACACATAATATTTTTGTGTCATCGTTGAGGACGATTCTAAAGCCTGGGCCACAATAGGCCTTAAGATCACCGTATTATTTACGACAAAAATTAAAAATAATATATGCTGAATACTGAAGAAAAATAACTTTTTTTAAAACGGATTTTTGCATATTTATTTTTTTTTTCCTCACAACTAGCATTATTTCAAAATTTAATGAACATAAATATTTCTTTATTTTTTTTCCTTTCAGAATATGCACGCATGATGATAGACGGAGAATATTGGACTTCAGGAACAAACTCAAACTGTTCCGCAAAGTTCCACTGGTGCTCGAAAAAGTCAAATTTTGCTGACAAGCAGATCTTTTGGAAAAGCAGTGAACCAGATTTGAATAAAGGAGAGTGCGTCCACGTGGAATTAAGAAACGGAACAGCTTTAAATTCGCTGATAGGAGTAAGCAATTGTTCTGTTGAGAAGAGGTACATTTGTGAGGTAAGGCAGCAAGGAACCGCCAAGAGGGGTTTGGAAGTCGAGTGCATGGCGCTCTGGGATGTGTCTGAAGGTTTCTCTTGGAAAATTGCAATGAAAGTTCTTATTAAAACAAAATTATCTAGCCGATGTTGCAATTCTTTTCCTCGGCTTCAAAAATTACACTCAGAAGATAAAAGTACGAATTCTTTAGTGTTGCTTTTTCATTAAACATATAAATTTTAGTGCTTCATTAAATGCTTGGGAGAGGACCAGAAACTAGTGAGTTGCATTTTCTATTAAATTGGTGTTTTACAATTTTCAACAAAAGTTTTTGAACGGCAAACTCGAATCCGGTGATATGTTGAAAATGATGGAATTGGCTATGCAAGAGACGCCGGTCGAGTTGGAAACGGGTTTCGACGGATACTCACAGTGCTCGTCAATTACAGGTACGAATGGTTGTTTTGAACCTTACAATATATGTAGAAGAATTTTTAAACAATTTTTTAGGTTTTATTCAGTTTTACTAACCAATATTTCTTAGTAATTACTATAACTTATTAGTTTTGTTTCCCCATATTTTGCCTTGTTCTCGTTAAAAGTGGATTGATAGAAATATATTCAGAATAACATTTTCCATCAGATATTTTTGATTGGTTCACCAGAGAAAATGATTTTAAAACGCGCGGGATCTCAAATATGAAATTTGCACATTTTACACTCTAATTTTCAATTTTTGGAATAAAAAAGCAGTGAAAAGTCCATTTTCAACAGTAATCGGGGGTTTGATTTTCCATCAAAAAGTCATTTAAAGTGGCTCTTGAATCACTTTAATTTTTTGAGATGTTTAAATGACAAAATTCTAGCAAAACATATAAAGCGAATTATTAATTATGTAGCAAAAAAATTGATCGGTCATTTTCTCCAACCCTTTACAGGACAGGACGAGTGCGAAGTGGCCGCCGCCACTTATGATTGCGGCGTCGAAAAGCTACCCATAATCACACAGAAAATGGTCGACTTTGGAAAAGGGAGTAGTACCATGGTAATTTAGCCGAAATTCAAAATGCTAAATTGAATATAAATAATATTTTTGAAAAAGCTTATTCCACCCGTGCCATGTGTGCCTGCTAGAGTTTGTCAGACAGACACGATGCCCTGCGTTGCTAATGTGAAATTATTTTTTGATTTATAATTATTTTCCAAAGCAAAGCATATTTTCAACTCTAGCAAACTTTAATCGATGAACTTAACAGCACAAATCACAGTAATTTTAAAATTAAACATGCGAATAAATAAACATTCTAAAAATATTTTTAAAGCCTCGTTTGGAATCCTGCTTTGGAGCGACAATAAAACAAGACGAATGTTACATCTGACGTGAGTATAATTATTTTTTGAAGAGGAAGAATAATATATGGTGTGAGCACGTGACTTTTGAAGAATCTCCTCACTACTTCCCACACGAAATGCTGCTCTATTGGAATGAGGCTGATTGAATATGAATCGTACGAAGATATGCAGGACGTCAGCCTGACCATGTTTAAAATAAGGTTGGACAACCACGTTGTAATATCAGATGTGATGACCATGGGTCCGACGATGGAAGTTTGGTGCGGCAGCAAAAAACAGCTCGATACCAGCATGTATACTTTTATAACTGCAATAATATCAATGCCGCCTGCACAGTGTCTTTCTCAGAATTATTATCAATATTTAGATTTTGGTACTTATAACAGTGTTCCCCATTCACCAATACTAATTTTGGTGAACTCTGGTACAACCATGGTCCAACATTTTGCCTGTGCTTAATTAAAGTTGGTCAAATATTTTAGCATCATGAACTAAACCAAATTTTCCTATAATTCGTATTAGTCTTTTTTAGTTTTTTTTTCTTCATGTAACAAAAATAATTATATTAAAGGTTTTCCCAATTTTTTTCATTGAAGAATGTGTTTGAATTAATTAAATATCTTGATATTTCCAGAAAGCTTTTTCAGATTTATTTAACGCGTTGTCTTCTTTCATATGTTTGTAGTTTTCGTTTATAATTTTTGAAAATTTTTATTACGAATCTTGATTTGAGCCAGAGATAGCCTTGTGGTACACCTGTGAATTTAATTTTTCAACTAAATTTGAATAAAGAATTTTGTATGTAAGTTTCATTTTTTTTTTATTATAATTATGTGGGATTCCATAAAATAAAATATTGCGTTAATGTTGCAAATTTGTATTTATGTATGATATTTTTTTATGTGAAGCCATTTAGAAGAATAAACTTCAGAGATGCACTAATAAAAGAGTCATTGCAATTTTAATGAGTGTTTATCACGTATCATTTACTATAATATTACCAGGAAAAAGCAAGAGTATTATTAAAAAATTTCATTTATAAAGCTAAATTATTTTCTCTTCACTCAAACTGAATGGTCTCTTGCTTTTCTGCCTTCGCTCTGTGAACCGAGAACTAGTCTTTGGATGAGGATGCTATTACACTATAAAGGAAGAAGAGGTTGGCATCGTCCCCCGGAGCATCCCGAGAACGGTGATATATAAACGCCACGAAAACTACCCTAGCGGGAATTAAGGGCTGTAAGGGCGTGCGTGTGCCTGGCAAGCCGGGGGCAGAAGTGCGTGTGTCGCTGAAATGAGGTGCGATAATATGTCCCAATCGAGCATCAGCAAAACCGGCGGCCGCTGACTCGTGGAAACAAGTGCGAGTTTTGCTGAATTCACGGATTGGGCAAAAGAAGATTTAGGTTTACACGCTGTTTGTAGGGCAGATTTCGTGTCAACAAATATTTATTTTCAGTTTTTAATTTTCCAGACTGTGAGTTAATCTTGACGATTGAAATAATATTAAACAATATTAAAGAAATATACATTATTAAAAGTTATTAACAAAAAATAAATTTACAAAATATTTATAAATTTTGACTTATAAAATTTTTATTTTAATAATTAAATTTAATTCCTTTTTCCACAATTTAATTAGATAACTTTTAAATTGTCATTGAAAATATGCACGAAAAATAAGAATTCTATCAATCAAGTAATGTTTAAGAAATTATCTTTTATAAATAAACTGTTGCTTGAACGCCAGCATCGCGTCAGCTTATTATTACAAATAATATTTGAATGGGCTGTTGTCTTGCTGCTTGTTTCCATAAATAGATATTACATAATTATCGTTAGATTTTTTTTCGTACTGTCATATTTGTCTTTAATATAAGGACATTAATTTCCTCAATAAAGGGTTTATGGGCTAGGTTAGTGTAAGATGAATAAATTTTTAGAAAATTATTTTGTGTATATATGTCCCGGTAACAAATAAGAAACTCTAATTTCAATTTGCCAAAAATTACTTAAAGAAAGGTGTGCTATAATTATGCTTGTGTATCATCTACAAGATTAGGTTTTAAACGCAATTAATTTTTGCTATTAAATTTTTTTTGTTATTTTTAAATAAATATGAATATGAAAGCAAAATATTAACTTGGTTTCATTTTAATTTTTGATGGCGCACAGAAATTAAGGAGTGCCTCTTTAGATTTACTTAGACTGACCCCAGGAAGCCCATCAATGGCCATTAAAAGTGTACATATAAAAGATATGGATTACTACCAGGAAAAGTGATCGGATAAGAACTCCTTAATATGTTTTGCTTTTTCTTCCCTCATCAGTCAAAATCATGTGTGCTTTCATTCGGGGGACGCACTCTGTTGAGAAGATGCTATTACACTAGAGAGGAAGTAGCGGTCGGTCGGGGAGTGTCACCGAAATGAGAGTAGGTGCGATAATATGCCCCGATCGGCTCCAGCAAAAGCGGCGGCGGCGGCGGGGGTGCACCGAAAAGTGCAGAGTGCGCCTGAGTGGGGCGACCAGCTAGGGGTTGGTGCGTCGCTCGGTGCTTGGCCCGCAGCAGTCTGCTTTCTCCCGGCCTCGTGGTTTGCGTGGTGCGATCATCGCTGCAGGTCGCGCTGTTTGATTTCGCGTCCACACCAAGGGCATGTTCAAAGCGGCGCCGCCGAATCGTGGCATTTAGGTGAGTGCCTGTCAGATTATACATTGGATTGGGCTGAAAGCAGATTTGCGATTTCGGCGCTGTTTGTCAAAGGGATTTCCGCCGAGTCAGAGAAAAATCTTGGCAGGACAGGGATTACTTGACGGAAAAAGTGCATACTCTTTTTTGGTCAACAAAATACATAACTGCCATATACATAGCTGATTTTAATCTTTTAACTTTGACGCTAGACAATTGTTTAATTATTTCAATCTTATTTTGCGTATTCAATTGTACATTATAATTTAATGAATTATCATTTTTCTCATTGTCAAATACAAAACATTTTGCTGAAATAGGGAACATAAATTTTTCCTATTTTTCACGGCGCATTTTTTCGTGAGTCTCAATTATTTACACCCGATCGTTTAAAGCATTTCAAAACGTCATAAAACGATTTTTGCCACGATATTTTGATAATTCAATCCTTTAAATTTTCTATAAAGAACTGTTTAAAATCTTTGTAATTTATTACTTCCGAGTATGAGTTTAAACAATAAATTTATATCAAGTTGTTTTAAAGACATTGCTGTGAATTTTCCCTTCTATATTATTTAAAATTTTAAAATTATAATTGTTACTGAAAAATACAAAAAAAAAATTGGCCGCGAGATAAAGGGAGCTTGTTTGTTCTAGAATAGAATAGTTTCCTCATATGAGATTGAAGGTCCAAATATCTACATATTTTCCAACTCCAAAAAATTTTCTGACAATAAAATAAAAACTTCGACGCAAACTGACGCAAAGGCATAGAAAGATGAAATACTATTTACCAACCGTCACAGGTTTCATAACTCTGGAATATGTTTAGTTAAAATAAATTATATTGTTATCATTAAAATTGATTAAAATGAAGCTTTCCATTGATCCTTTACTTTTCATTAGGTAAAAACACCAGGTGACGTTAATTTCATACCCTCTTAAAGAGTGTGGCTGTCTTTTTCCTTCACAGCTGCTCTTAGAAAATCCTTTCGTTGAAAACTTAATGCGTAGAGTGCCCTCGCAATCTCTGCTGCATTTAATCCCGCACACCGCCTCTTCCATAAATATTATCAAAAGCGAAAGAATACTTATGCAACCGGCTTTACACATCTGTTGAGCTGTTTGCTAAGCATATATGCAGCAGGCGCGCGAACACGCTAAGCACTCCCTGAAATCTGTTCCAACAATTTTTGTGAAATTGCTTTGGGAATTACCTGAAGTTATTTATAGTATTGCTTTTTTTAAATCTAGTTTTATATTTGTTCAATATTATTTCAGAGTAAAAGTACTGTTCACACTGGCTTGGTGAATGATTTTAATTCTAAATTTCATAAATATAGTGCAGAATTTTTGTGACTGAAATCAAATTAAAAAATTTGCACCCCTATAGGTCATTGAAGGTTCTCCTATTTCCATCCAAACCCTTTCTTGAACTTTGAGGGAAGATTCAATGTCCACAAGAAGGATCTTGCTTTAATTAATCAAATTTAGTAATTCAAACTAACAAGACAGAAGTCCATAAAGGTTCATATGCTTTTGGCTGAAAAAGATGAACGTTCAATTAGCCCCTTTTTTAACCTCTATGGAGTGTGAATTTTTCAATCACGACTTTTATGTCATTCATGAAATTTTTTGTTCCTTTTCATATTCAAGAGCAAAATCATTACTGTAGAGACCCTTTCTTTTAGTATTTTTAGATAACATAAAGCAAACCTTTACTTTTCTGTTGAGAGATTTTTCTGCTCTCTCAGCAAAAACTTTGCTGTGTAAAAATGAGGTTTTCCCTTGTTGGAAATGGCCCTGACGCGATTAACCCCGGCTGCTGGATTCATTTAGCTCTACACTAATCTGTAATCTCATCTCATTTCGTTTGCACGCGTCGCTCCGTTCACATTATGCGCCGTCGCCGCAGCACGTTATTAAATTAATCTTGAACCCGCAAGTGTCACATTCGCCCTTCAGGTCTCGTCGGGGGCGGATTACGTTATGTATTTACCTTATCAAAACTGTTCTCGCTCAAAGCGGCTCGGTGCAGCCCATAATTGAGTGCCGCAGATCCCCGTGGAGGAGAAACACATCTCTCGTTCGCTCGGCAAATAATGCTCCAAAGGTGAGTGCTGCGGGCTCTCCAGCTAAAACGCATTACACACATACATATTGTTCTTGGGCCGGGTTTTTCGCTGGGTTTGATCGAAAGTGACAGCAGCCCTGGAAGTGGAAGTGTGTTTGCACGAACGCAGCATATATTGGGAATCTGATAATCTTGCATGCTCTTCCTGTGAAATATCTTTTGCCAGCTAAGGCATTTTATATTCGGAGAGGATAATATTATTCCATTACAGAAATTCGATGAAATTGAGTTGTTTTTATTCATTGGTTGAAGGTGAATTTTTAAAAAACACCAAGAGACAACATAAAACGTATTTTATTTTTAATAAGTTATAAAATACGGTTTTTTAATTAAACTGCTGACAAAAATTTTACATAGTATAAGTTTTTATTTAATTTGAGTAATTTTCTATATTTATTGTTATTATTAACTTTTATTTTTAATGTTTATTTTTTGTTTATTGTAAAATATTTGAAAATATTAAAAAAAAAAACACTATTATTAAATTTATTCGTCCACTTACATGACCTAATTAAACTGAAAAAATTTCAATTGCAACCTTTTTGTTTGACTTCTGTTATCATGGATCATGGAACAAATACAATAAATGCTTAAACACCAAGTTTATTAGTAGCAAAGTGAGTTAGATCTTTATTGTGAAAAGTTAAGTTTCTATAGAGAAAAGCAATAAAAGTAAGAAAAGTGATAAAAAGGAGACGTTCATGCAGTGCTTGAGAAATAATTTTGTTTCACATTGTTTTCATAAAATTTGGCGAGGGTTAAAATGATTTTTGTTTCAATTATTTGGAAAAAAATTTATATTCATTTTTTATCAAGACAAATTATTAAATGCGTTAAAAGTTAAAATAAATTTGTCACAAGTAACCTCTGAGTGACGTTATTTCAATTTTAATGGCATATTTGAAAGTTTCTTTTAACTTCTTCAACACCTGCAAGTGCAAAAGATCAACTCTGCTGGGGACAGGGGAGCTGACGATTTGACCCTAAAACCGTCTTAAACTCTTAACAACTCCTCAACCCTGGCGTTTCCTGCTGCTGGGAGTCGCGCGGGGGGCAAAAAGTCGTGCTGCAGGAAGCGCCGAGTTGAGGTCCCGCTTCCAACTTTCACCCGCACTCGAGAGCAAGAAAACGTCTCGCGTTCTCGACTTTTTGCGGGCATTTCCCTCGCTGGGAATTCATAATTGGGGCACGCGAGTGCACACACCAACACACCATCCGGCCACCACACACTCGCCTTACCTCTTGCTACCCACAGGGCTCAAAAAAGGTGCGGTGTGTTCCCGTTGCACAGTGGCGAAATTTCGACCACAAAGTACACGCGTCACAAAGTGCTGAAAAAATCAGCCCATTAATTTTACTTATTACCTTGATAAGCACATCATAATTCAAAACATAATGAAGTTTACTTAGAAAAAAATTGGAAAATAAAATTTGCTTCCAAATTAATTTAGTTAATTAAAATGAAAAGTTGGCTTTTTCTCATTGAGGAAATTTTTTTTCATTCATCAGCAAAGCAAGAAAAATTGAAACATTAAAAATTACATTCTTTCTTCCTTAAATAATCTTAAAATTTGTAAATCCTAACGCTGACTTATTTCAGAAGCAATCACTTAAATATGTCATTTTTTCTCAAATAGTTAAATATAAAATTTAAAAAGTAAATTATGCTCCGATTGATATCCTTCCACTTGTTTATATAGACAAATATGTTGGTTTTCCAGTCTTTTACTGCGGACTGAATTTTTTAATATCTTTTTACTTTTAACACTATTCAAAATTATAAAAAATAACTTCTCTTTGATATCGTAACTTTAAAAAACAAAACAGTGTGTTTGTGAAACAAAAATCTAAACAATTGAAACTGCCACCGTGAAAGTCGTAAAACAAAGGAGGGAATCCAAACACGCAGTTCTACTTTATCCGCGACGACTCGCACCACCTCGGGCGAGCACACTTTGTTGTCGCGTCTCTTTGGTATGGCTGTAATTCAGGAGCACACGGGAGAACTTGTTGGCGGAGTCGTTGACACGCTATTGTCTCTTCTTAAGCTGCTGACTGTGCCCAACTCACCCGGCAGGAAGGTTTCCAGTCCGGACCATTGTGTCGCCCGGCGTGTTTCATTGTCAGCTCTGCCGACGCAGCCACCGTGGCCGCCGACTTTGGCTATTTGTTGCGTCGACTTCGGAGGAAATTGGATTAATAGTTGGGACCGGTGTTTGTTTGCGCGCCCTTTCGGCAAGAAAAACCGGAACAAAGTTTTTATTGTTGCACACGCACAGGAGAAACTCACGGTGTAAATAATGTTGTCTTATTAGTTATTATCAAATTTGTGTTTTGATTAATAATAACCCCTGCTGCCTTAAGAAATAACACTTTTTCTTATATCGTGAAATTTTGTTCAACTATTGTAATAATTTTATAAACAAAATATTTAATTGTAATTAATGTTTGGAAAGTAGAGATTTAAGAAGAATTATGTATACTTTATTTAATTTATATGAATTAAATAATTAGAGTGGCAAATTACAAGCAAGTTTAGTAAAATTGTTGTACAATTTTGTTAATTTAAAAAGCTGTTGTATATTATTGATTATCAACTAGCCTTTGTTAAATTTTTTTATAAATGTGGATTAATGAGAAGAAAATTAAGATTATAAATTGATGATAACAACAACAAAATTTTGATCAGATTATGTAAAAATTTTGAATAATAAGAAGTATGAAAGTTAGTATCTATAAGTTATGGAAATAGTCATAATGAGGTATGGAAATTTCGATATTTGACCCTTTTTTCGCCTAATCAATCACTCCTTTTTTCTGGAATAGTTTGCTTCAATCAATTTATTTTATTCAAAATTTTATATGCTTT